TAATACTTTTCTTTTAGATTAGCTTTCCCTAAATTATAGAGTATCTTTCTCTTCGGTTTCAAACAAACAACGACTCCTTTTGATCTGTGATTTAAAAAGCCACAAAGTTTGGGATTTCTTTTTGTGGGGCCAAATGCCAATCGCTGATAGGAATCTGCTTCCAAGCACTTCTTAATAAAGTTGTTGCCGGTTATTATAACAATAAAAGAGGAAATCCTATTGCGACAGGGTCTAAAAATAAGTTCAAATTCGTGTTGACAATATTTTTTTTTATTTTATTTCTTGTCGTTTTATTACCATTGCGCGGAACGGATTATCGCGACAAGAAGATCAAGAGCATGAGGATTTTGAGGGGAACAAAAAATATGTATATGGATATCAGAAAAAATAACAAGAAGGGGAGCCGCCCACTGACACTGGCTAAAAAAAATGGAGAAAAAAATATAGTGCGGAATACTGAAAACTGAAAAGCGTAAATCACGCTTTCGATAGATTTAAAATTAGTTGACGGCGATAAGACGTTAGGAGATTTGTACAGTCCGTTTCGGAGTTGTAAGGAATTGAGAAATTTTGAGAGAAACTAATATGTTTTTGTGTAAAGCAACCTATTTTTTAAGCGTTAAATATGAGAAAAAACCTAAATAATGGGAATATAAGGTATTTTAGACTTATATTGTAGAATTATTAAATAAAACAAGAAATGAAACTAAGTTTGGGAAGCCGTAATTAATGAACCTTTGCAGTTTGCAACTGCATTAAAGGATCGTATCGAAAATCGAGCATAACTAAGCTTAAATATTCGGAATCCTTAAATCAATATTCATCGATATTTGATAAATTTTTTTTTAACATATTAAACCTTAAAAATCTTATAACTAAGTCAAAAAAGCATTAATTTACAATCGGAAAACTGTCCTATGTTCGTTTTTATTGGGTTAATAAAACTGCATACTCAATTTAAATATTTAAAAAATAAATTTTTGTAATTTTTTTAAATTTGAACAATGTAAAATAACAAGAAAATTTTGAAAAATAAATTTTAATTTTTTTTTTTGCTGTAAATGGCTAGATCGACTCGTCTTTTGATGCTGATCAAGAATATATATGATTTATAGGGTCAGAAATGACTCCTTCACATCTTTACAAGCTCTTTACTGACATTATAATACCCTGGAAGGGTGTACAAATCAGCAGACTCTTTTACAAAGAAATACTATTTAAATAAATTATTCCAAACGCATTTAAAATATTCTAATAATTCATAAACTACACACATTATAGACTCTTTATAAAAACCTTGCTAATTATAATGACTGTACGTTGTTTTTCCTATTAACAAAATATAATTAACCAAATTTAACGCCACTCTTTAAAAACATTTATTACACTTATTTATTTATAACTATATTTTCGTTCCACAAATTATAATTGCTGACATATCAAGTTAAAAGGGGTAACCGAGGGGTTGGCGTTTATAATGACTTGATCACTTTTGATTTTGGTTTTTTATTATTTTCTTGAGTTACGGACATGAAAATTTGCATGTTGCATGTTGCACAAACTGCGCATAAATCCAATTAATAACATAATTATTTGGCAAGCTGGCAAAACGCAGCAGTTTTGTTAGACAAACCATTTGAAGCTCATTTCAAGAGGCGGCCGTCTGCATTTGCAACGTTTTTTATTTATATTTTTATTTTTTATTTTTATTTTTTCGGTGGTGCGTAGGCTGATCCAGCCAAAGCCACCAAACCGCCAGTTACTTGGAGCCACCAGAGCCACCGTCATATGCAAATTGCCCATATATGAAATGCAGTTTTTCCTCGGTTTATGCCTAAATTGAAATATTGACTTTGCGCACTTAATTTTCAGTCTGGCAAATTTGAATTGCCAATCAATTCGCTGGGCGGTAAATGCAACTTGAAGGGGATTTCATTTGAAGTAAAAAGGTAAATTTTGAACTAAACAATATGCAACATAAATTAGAATAGCTGTTAAGCATAAAACCTACTGTCTTTTTGTGATGTGTGGGTGTCAGAACCGAGGGAAAAAAACCTATGGATCGGGGCGTAACTTCAGACTAGCCATTACTTTTATTGGGAACTTCTTGCGGCGATTTTAAACAAAATGATTTATGGATCTTGCCTCGGGAATTAACACCACTGAAACAGAAATCGGACTGGAAAACCCCAGAGAAAGATAGGGTGGTCAAGTCACCAATCAGATTAGTTTTAAAATGATTCAGCTTTTTTAAAAAAGATTTAGGTTCTTATCAATATGATTCTAAAGTGATTTAGACTTGTAATTATAATCTATAAGCGATAGGATTGCAATATTAATTGTTGCGTGGAGTTAAGATTATAGAGATAATTGGTTATACTTTAAAAGAGATTGAAAGGTTTCATTATTTCACTAATTCAATACATTGTTATAAAGATACGAATCATTTTTCTCATTTTCCTTGGTGTTCACTGTATCAAATCATAGAAAGAAACAAACCGCAAACAAAAGGGAATAAAACCAAACCAAATAGAACCCAGTTCGGAACCACTAGAAAAATCAAAACCCACCCACATGTCGAGCGGTGTTCGCCAAGTGGAATTGAGTGCACACACACAACACACACACACATTTTGCAAGCAAATTTCTCGTCTTGTGTCGCGCTTCGCTTCAGTTACCTTCGACAAAAGGAAAAGATTTGCTAATGCAACTAACTGCAGAAGGAGCTGTCATTGTGGCGGGTTTTCCGTCAAATGTAAGAAATTAATACATTAACTAAGAACTCTGTTTACTAAGCTTGAAGACAGGAACTAAAACCCATTGTATATTCTATAAAGCAATTGATAGTAGTGTGTACCTCTTAAAAAATTATGTTTCCTAACAAGAAAAATGCCTCTTAAGAATAAAAATAGTTTCTAAGTAGCTTGGTCATTAATATTATTTTCCTAAAAATCTTAAGACTTTCAAAGAATAATCAACGGCTTATAAAAACGTATAGAAACTTGAAAATACAATAGAAATAAAGGTAAATATACACCTCTAATAATATTATTATTCCATATACAAATAGGATATATCTTCAAAGAATCTCTCTCAAATATATCCCTTTTGTTCCTATTTTCTGGCTTAATACTTTTAAATTTTAAGCTTAAACTAAGAACACATTTTTTTAGCTAAAATGTTGACACCTCTGTTTCTCCTGTGACGCCCCTTTCAGCCATTTCAATTGCTTGCACACGGCCCCTTTTGATTTTACCTCTGCCGCTGCCACTGCCTCTGCTGCTGATAACAAAAATAAAATAAAATAACAATAATAAAATAGAAGCGCAGCGAAAACAGCGTAGCGTAGATAAGCGCACAAATATACACACACGTGAGCAGCAAAGAACTCAACAACAAACTCTAAGCAAATAGTTTAAACGACTTTAAATAAATGGAAAGATTTCGACAAATTGCGACTGAAAGTGAAAAGTACAAGTAAATTTTATACAAGAAGTAATAATGTAAAAGTGCAGTAGATTTTCATAAATTTGATTATATTAAAATTTGATAAATATGTAAATATTTATTATTCATATAAGGGAATTTTTAAAGAAATTAAATATAAGCTTTAGAAGAAACCATCTTAAAAAAACATTAAAAACAATCCCAAAACAAACATTTCGCAATAAAAAACAAACTATTTCCGTTATAGTCCCCTGTTTTTTGCCCAATTGGGAACTTTGCATCCCAAGTGGGCGGTGAAATTTCTGATAAGATTTGCCCAGCCGGGCGTGCTGTTTATTATTTACCGTTTGAAAAGAGGGGGGCCTGAGAGCGAGAAAGTCAGATATGAGGAGTGAAGAGAGCAAAGCTCCAATTATCAAACGATGCGCGTTGGCGAGACGCTGAGTCATAAAGGTGAGAAAAAGAGAGCAAAGTTCTCATCCAACTCGATTATTCACCGAAATGTGCACCGCATTTTGATTGTTATTTGTTTTCATTTCCCATTTGTATATATGTATATTTGTTTGGTTCTGCACTTGAGACCAATATAACCGCGCACCCGCACCTGTACTGCCGGCAGCGACGCTGGCAGCGGCAGAGGCTCAAGTGGAAATCGGAAGAGATTTGCGCGAGTTTGTGTGCATTTCAAGTATTTTCAAAACATAATAAAAATATAATTTTATTGTGTGTATATTTATAAGCAATGCCACTTTTTCTCGTCTTTTTTTTTTTTTGTTCAATTAATGGCGCGCACACACTTATACATACACAATACGCATAGGCCACCAGACACAAACATACACAAATATACTTATATATTGCAGCATAAAACTGAGTCTGAGAATAAACTGTGATCGTCCCTACAGAGAACAACAGCATTAACATTTTTGCCCCACCGCCACAACAAAAACAACAACAATAGTGCGGCGGTCGCAACGAAGAAGCACCAGCAGCAGCGTAGCACAAATACAAGGAAACATATTTTTTCTCTCCTCTTTCACCAAACGTAATTGCACTCAAAAGTTGTCTTTTCTTCAGGGAAAAATTGGTGAAAACTCGATGCGAACTACTTACGCGTGGCGGTGAGCACTTCCTGGGGGTTTATTTTGTCATTTTGACTGTTTTTAGGCACTGCAATTGTCCATAAATTAGTTTTTTCAAAAATGTTTATCACGAAAATGCACATACAAACTAACTAGAGATGTGAGAAATATATCGATATCACAAGAAATGTAAATATTTATATCGCGATAGATTTCCTGAAAAGAGTGGCAGCACGGGTTCAGGGAAAAGCTTTTAAAAAGCCTTCAGTGGGGTTTTTATGATTATTGCGGAAAGAGCTGTTTTCCATGTATCTCGCTTGAAAAGTTTTATGAGCGAAAAATGGCTGCAAACGTAAATAAAACGATTTTCCTTTACGGTCTGGCAGCGTCGTCATAGGTTCAGAAGATTTAAGTGTGACCAGTTACCAAACAATTGTAAATCCTCAATTTTATCCGCAAAGCCGATGTTCACACTGCTAAGCGCGCATTGTTTTTGCCATTGCGAAATTGTTTTGTTAATTTAATTTGTTTATCAAGCTCAACAGATTTTAGGTCAAGTAATTACAGTTAATATTCAACATGAAGGAGTGTCCGTATGGCGAGAAATGCTACAGGAAGAACCCAATCCATTTTGGCGAGTTTTCCCATGAACACTGTAAGCAAAGCAAAAACAAAAAGGAGAACAAAAAGATTAAATTTATTTTGCAATTCCTATAGTGGATGCAATTTATCGCAAAGGAAATGCATCGGGGGACTATGATATACCTGCCAAGTACTCTACTGACCTGATTGAAACCCAATTAAAGTTGCTCGAGAAGCTCTTTCCAAAAGAAGGTGCCAAAAAGGAGAAGCAGGCAAATGTTTCTGGTGCTTCAGCTGCTGCACCAACTAGCCAAGGATCCTCGAGTTCTGGTTCCTCGAGCACTTATGCTTCGGGTTCCTCAACTTCCCAGGCTGGCAGTTCATCGTCTGCTCCCAAAGACACCTCCAAGTTGGCCAAGAAACAAAAGCTAAATGAGCGAAACATCAGGGATTATATTCCTGTGGTAGTGGAAAAAGGAGGAATGGCCAAGAAGCTGAAGGGGGCTGCTCCTTACAACATGTTCCTTACCGCTATTACTGACTCGAAGCCCACGCACTCGGAGTCCTTAAGTGTGACACTCCAGGAAATCCTCGACGAAAGTCTGGGCGAGATTGAGAGCAGTGTGCAAATAAACTTTATGGTGGATATTGGCTGGCTTCTTGGACATTACTACTTTGCCGGTATACTGTGAGTATTACTGCGCTTCTTATATTTATGGAGAATTAATATATGTTTTCTTTTCAGCGACAAACCCCTTTTGGTCCTCTATGGCGACGAGTCTCCTGAACTTCTGAGCATTGGCAAATTTAAACCGCAAGTCACGGCCATTGGGGTAAAGATGCCCACGCCTTTGCCACTTCACACACCAAGATGATGCTGCTAGCCTACACTGATGGATCCATGCGTGTGGTCATCTCCACAGCGAATCTGTACGAGGACGATTGGCACAATCGCACGCAGGGCGTGTGGATAAGTCCGAAGCTGCCGGCACTGCCAGAAGATGCTGATACCGGAGCAGGTGAAAGCGAAACGGGATTTAAGCAGGACTTGATGCTATATCTGGTGGAGTACAAGATAAGCCAACTGCAGCCTTGGATAGCGCGAATCCGAAAGAGTGACTTTAGCGCAATCAACGTGTTCTTTTTGGGTTCTGTGCCTGGAGGCCATCGTGAGAGTACCGTGCGTGGTCACCCTTGGGGTCATGCTCGCCTGGGAGCGCTACTGGCCAAACATGCAGCTCCGATCAATGATCGGATACCTGTAGTCTGTCAGAGTTCAAGCATTGGCAGTCTGGGTGCGAATGTACAGGCCTGGATACAGCAGGACTTTGTCAATAGCTTGAAAAGGGATTCCTCACCGTTGGGTAAATTGAGGCAAATGCCGGCATTTAAAATGATATATCCTAGCTATGGGAATGTCTCGGGCAGTCACGATGGAATGTTGGGCGGCGGATGCCTGCCCTATGGAAAAAATACCAATGACAAGCAGCCGTGGCTTAAGGAGCATCTGCAGCAATGGAAATCCAGTGATCGGTATCGTTCCAGGGCCATGCCACATATTAAAAGCTATACACGTTATAATTTAGAGGAGCAGTCTGTATATTGGTTCGTTTTGACTTCGGCAAATCTCTCGAAAGCTGCCTGGGGCTGCTTTAACAAAAACTCCAATATTCAGCCATGCCTAAGGATAGCCAATTATGAAGCTGGTGTCCTCTTTCTGCCCAGATTTGTGGTGAGTTCGTAAATATTTTTAAAATTGTATTAAATTCCAAATGGGTTTTAATTTACAGACTGGCGAAGACACATTTCCCTTGGGAAATAATCGGGATGGTGTACCTGCTTTCCCACTACCTTATGATGTTCCATTAACTCCATATGCTGCGGATGATAAACCCTTCTTGATGGATTATTTACAGGGTTAATATTTCCTATTCTCGAATTTTATTTATTGGGTTTTCATTTAAAAAAGTGTTTTTCCAAAAGGTTCCCCTATAATTTTCATTACGAAATTTTGGTTCAAATTTTTTTGTTTTTAATCTGCTTTGAAGAATTTTGTTATTATTAATAATCTTTAAAGAAAATAAAAAGTTATTGTAACATTTAATTAAGAAATGATCCTTTATGGGCTGCTGCTTTATTTAGACAATGTACCAATTTATTTAATTGGTTTTAATTTAAGAAAGTATTTTTTCACAACATGCTTTAAATTTATTTAATGTTTTGTTAACATATACAACTTGAGTATTATAATTTCAGTCAGAAGTGTGCACCGCAGTGAAGGAATCACCATTGACCATATAAAGTATATTTATTCTTGATCAGGACCAACAGCCGAGTCGATCTAGCCATGTCCGTCTGTCCGTTTCTACGCAAACTATCTCTCAGTTTTAAATCTATCTGAATGAAACTTTGTAGTTAGTCTTCTATATACTCTCACTCGTATATATGTTTTCAGTTTTCAACAGAACTTGATCAATTTTGAGATATAGCCTTTTTATCCTATTTGGTGTAAAATTTTATGAAAATCGGACTACCATATCATATAGCTGCCATAGGAACGATCGAGAAATTAATACAATTAAAAACTATAATTTTTTCAGCTTGCAAAAGATTTTCTTCAAATTTAAAAAATAGCTATTTTTTATTGTTCTACAATTTGGTTTAAAATTTTATGAAAATCTGACTCCTATATCATATAGCTGCCGTAGAACGATCAAGAAATTAATACAATTAAAAATTATAACATTTTGAGTTTTCAGAAGATTTTCTTCAAATTTAAAATATAGATATTTTTTATTATTCTACAATTTGGTGTAGAATTTAATGAAAATCGGACTACTTTATCATAAAGCTGTCATAGGAACGATCAAGAAATTAATACAATTAAAAATTGTTAGTTTTTCATTTTTCAACAGGTTTTCATCAAATTAAAAATATAGCTATTTTTTATTATTCTACAATTTGAAGCAATATTTTATGAAAATCGGATAACTATATCATATAGCTGCCATAGGAACGATCAAAAATTAATACAATTAAAAATTATAACTTTTCAGTTTTCAACAGATTTTTATCAAATTTAAAATATAGATATTTTTTATTACTCTACAATTTGGTGGACCAATTTTTGAAATCGGACTACTATATCATATTGCTGCTATAGGTGCGATGCCATTGTTCATGCTAGATTCAATTAAATTTAATTTAATAAATAAATTATTCAAATTAACTGATTTGCTAAGATTTTTATCGATTTAAGTATGACCAGCTGCCATGACATATTTTTACGGTATTTTTCCGCTTCTGCAGTACGGTCCAATCGGACTCCAAATTAAAAAAAAAACTCAGCTGGCGCAAGCTGTTCTGTCGCACAATTTTAAACAAAATTCGGTTTCCGTGAAGTGTTCACATATATTTGCCACACGACAAAATATAAACGAATCCAAATAAGCCCGACTAAAATCAGACAAACATAGAAACACAGCGAGAGAGGCGGAGAAAGTGAAGGATAAGTGGCGAGTGATTGATGATAAGGCAGGCCAGCTGCCGACTTCCTCGGATCCTGAATAGAAAATCGGCGAAATGTCCACCGCCTTCCTGACGCTGGTCGCCGTCATCGTCTGCATCCTTTTCCGGATACTCAACGTGCACAGCCAGCCGCTGAAGCCGAGTGTCTGGTGCCTGGATGCACAATTCCTCGACTGTCTCTACAAAATAGCGCCCGTACTGCGAGAGCCGTAAGTAAATCGGCTAAGAGTTCCTTGAACGACACACACACCCCATCCACACCCTAAAATTGTAGCATAAATATACGCCCACAGGTGTGGTCGGTCGAAATAATGGCGCACACGCATATTCGCAAAATCTTCATCTACACAAAAGTTACTCCTACAGCTTTGATGAAAATAAAAGATATAAAGATAAATCTATTTTAAATGAATTAGTTAATATGTCGGGCTTTAGATAATCTAAGCTCAACTTTATGTAGGTAACTTTCCATAGCCTTGCCGTGTCCTTTTCCGTTTAGCTTTTTTGGGTCAGACAGAAAATCATAACATAAATATCCATCCACAGGTGCGGCCATAATAATAGCATGCTCTCGTAAATTGCCGCAAACCTTGTAATCCATTAAAATAAGATAACAATTGCGGGCAGAATTATAGATACCATCATGTTATAGCAATTATTTATTGTACATTTAAAAATGTTATAAGAAAACTCTTCACATAGTAGTCAAAATTAAGTAAGGGTGATTATAAATACACCTAGCTTCATTAGAACTTTAAGCTACCTATATTTATGACCTTCATTGTTGAATTCACACACACGCCATCATCCCACATAAGCTTGGTAATAGAGCCATAGCACCACAGCCTAGCCAAAATGTTAGTTACGCCTAGCAAACATAATTATCCAGTCGGCGTGCATCCCATTGTTGTTGATAAACAAATCTGTAATTAACTCAAATTACCGCAAATATCCAATTTACTTGGCATATAGAAACAAATATTATTGTTTCGAGTGAATCATTAGCAATTAGTCAATTGAACTGATGTCCGTCGAGGTCTTAAATAATTCACAAATTCATCAACCTTTCAATTCATTATCAGTAAAGATTATCAGTAACAGTCTGGGGCAATAAAATGAAAGTGCAGTTCAAATTGATTAATTGCAATTCTATAAGTTTTTTTCTTATACGAACAGGAACAAACACATAGAACATTATATTCTAACTTATGTGACCCATAAGAAGTATTCGTCTCCGACTGAGGTTTTCGTTATCGAATAAGCTATAAAAACCAATCCCTTGACTCACAAGCGGAAATTTCTGCGATCATAGGCTAAATATATTTTTGGTGTATTTCAAAAAGGTTATCAGGGGAGGAAATATGTTTTAAAATTTCAATTAATTATATTGCTTTGCAAGCATTTCTTATAGGGTAGTCTGATAACCCTATAAGAAATCAAATAATAATTAAGTATTAATATTTTTCCAGTCGTTTAAATTTAAAAGTGCAATAATTTAAGAATCTTACTTATATTTAATTCCCTATCAAACTTTTTCCCTTGACTGTAGCCATACGCCTGGAAATTTTTCGTTTGTTTTTTTTTTTTTTTTTTATTGGCGAAAATCTGTGAATGCTTTCGGCATTTCTTTTTATCTTTTTTGCCGGACAACCGCAAAAGTAAATGGAATTTCGTTTAATCTTTTTTTTCTTCTTTAGGTTTATTTTTCAATTTATGTACTTTTTCTGTGTGTCTGTTGGTCTGACTGGAATGGCGATAAGAAGGAACAATAAAAACTGTCCGAGCAAAGTTCGCCCCACAATTACGCAGTAGCCTAGGAAAATAAAGACAGCGACTAACGCCTAGCAACCAAGTTTAACACTTACCCCAAATTATGGCGTGGGAGTTCCCCCAAGATATATGTGCATGTATTTAAATGTTTTGGGGTTGATAATGAAAAATGCCGGTAAAATGTTTTGGCATTTCGCTTGTATTCAAATGCCGGCACCACGCCACCTGTGAATGTATTTTTCTTATTCTCTTTTGGCGCTTTGCCCAGTCAGTTGGCGGTTGCCGCTTTTGTTTAACAACAAAGATTGCGTAAGCGGCGACACACTCTTGGCTGTCCGAGACACCTTTCCAACCCCTCTCACCTGGTCTTTCTTCTCGCAAAAAAGAAACAAAAGAAAACCGGTTAAAAGATGTGCTCAGGTAGAAAGCTCGAATGGGTATTTATTATTTCTCAACGTTTGTGTTAAAATTCTAATTACTTAAAATATTCCACAATGGCTTGGGTAACTATAAGTAGGCAAAACTACAATTTTCTCTACTAGTATAGAACTTGATATATTTTAACATACATATATATTTAATGGGTTTTAATGGTCATTGTATATTTTAAAGCATAAAATATTTATGGAGACCATATTTTTCATAGTTTTGTATTTCTCACTTATAGTTTGCATTTATTTATAAGAAAATTAATACAACAAGTTTTATTTTCAGTTCATAGAATATTAGTCTTATATTTTAATATTCTTACTAGTTAATACAGGCCTTATATTTTATGTAAGTTCTAACGAGTCATTAAAAAAGTAATAGTATTCCCTAAGTACCCAATAAAATCAACTTTGTGGTGACTGATTTTAATGCCACAATGATATAACGCTGTACAAAAGATCAAATGACAATCGAACCTGAAAGAGTAATATAAGGCAGTGGTTTCTAATGTAAATATATCTACATATGTAAATACTATAAATATTTATACTCTTTATCTAATTGACCCCACAAATCACTCTGCCCAGAGGGGTGTGACATTGAAAATGCACTGATGACTCATTTGTTCACTTTTTAGCACTCTTGACATTTTTATAGCAGTCGCTAAATTCAGTCGTGAAATTTCGCTGGAAAAAAGCTTTAAAAACAGACAGGTGTTTCTTTAGGGATGAGAATATACCTTTAAAACGCAGAAAGCTAAACTTTCATATGTATGTCAGAACTTTCCATTACTCACGCATTAATTAAAATTTTGAGCTATTTATTATTTATGGCATATTGATTCATGTTCGAGAATTCATGTTTTGTGGGTAATGATTAAAAATGTATATGAGGTACACGCTCTAGTCAGCACTTGTATAAGTTCCCAAGCTGTTCGAGCTTCCAACAATTTTATTTCTGATTGATTCTAATTGAAAGGCCAGTGTTACTGGGCAAACAAAATAAATACACACACAATTTTGGCACGTTTTTGCACGCCTGACATGATTTCTACACACAGAAAGAAACTAAATTAGGTAAATTTAGATACAATTGAGATTATTTGATAACAAAAAGATTGAATTAGTATGAATATTATTAGTATAAAATGAGTTTATTCAAATTTAGAAAGGCTTCTTGTACAGTTTTTTCAATAAGCTTCAAATGTATTGTATTTAAAACGAATAAATAACTTAATAAATTAGCTATTTGAATTAATAAAATTTAATTTATTTATTTAATAAATATTATACTGCTTTTT